TAGTCTATATCTGTGCTGTCTAATATGTTAGCTACTAGCCACATGTACCTGTGAAATGTGGCTAGTACAATAGAGACACAGAATTTTAAATTTTATTAAATTTTAATTATTTAAATTTAAGTAGGGCCATGTGGTTGCTTGTTCTTATATTGACTAGACAACATCCTGAGCATTCATCTATAGCTCTAGAACTTACCTACATTAAGCCATATAAAATTCAAAATCCTTTAAAAATATCAAGGTTCTTTAAGACACATGGTGACTGGAATGGTTTTTTAAATTATTTCAGACAGAGCGTTGTGGTGAAAAGGATACTGAGTAGGGCCTCCACTGCCATGGAGCAGAGTTGTCTGACGTAGTTTTGGTGTTTATTTTTCCCTAGTGGTATAAAGAGGGTTTAAAGATTTCCCTCAACTCCAAGATTTTATGGTTCAGAGGAAGGCTGTACCTAGGTACTCCAGATGAACGGCATAGGGAAATCAAGAAAACACTTTTCTTGGGTAGTTGCTTTTTCTCTACAGACTTTTCCTTGGTGGGATTTTCCCACTTTCATGGTTTCCATTATTATGTCTCTACATAGATAGATATATCTCGGTGCTAAGTCTCTGCATGTGACCTCTTCTACAGATTTTTGTCTCACAATTTACAATGATTTAAGATGATCTCTTTGATATTCTGTTCTTAAAGTAAGCACATTGGTTATGTACTGAATTGTATCTCCTCTCCCTCCAATTTATATGATGTCCCAACCTGTAGTACGTTGGAAGATGACTGTACTCGGGGATGGCGTCTTTAAAAAAGTAGAGTTAAGATGAAGTCATTAGAGTGGGCCCTTACCCTTGTGGCTGGGCTCCTTATACGTAAGAGAGGAGATTACGGTGCAGATTTGCCAAAGGAAGAGTGTGAGGGATTCAGGGACAAGGTAATTCTGGGAAAGGGAGAGAAAGAGGAAGAAACAGACCTCAGAATAAATTAACCCTGTTTATGTGAGACTTCCAGCACCCGGGAGGATGGGTGGGCCCATAGGTTTCTGCTGTTTGAGCCACCCTGTCTGTAGAACTAAAATTCTAAACTTAATATATTTGGCAGATTTGCCCATTATTGAGACAGCTCACCTTTTTTTTTTTTTTTTCGAGGTCATAGGCATGTCATCCACCTCGCACTAAGCAAAATAGTTCAACTATGTAATAGAGCGTTACACGATTTTTAAAGCTCTGGACTTTGGTACTTCTACTATTTATTCCTTATTTCTGTTTTTTGATAAATGTTGTTTTTTCTTATCTTACTACTGAGAGTCCATCTTTTTGGACTCTGTCTTTCCACCTTTCTGTTTATGTTCATTCTGAGCAACTTCTCAAATGTGGCCCAAGCTGTCTCTGAGCTCAGGGTGAGCGATCTCTCCTCAACCCTAAGCTTCCATTTCTCTCCACACAGCATGGCATACAGCTCTTTGTTCGAGGTCAAGATTCCTTGTCTTATCAACATCCTTTGACATTCTCTGTCTCCCAGCACTCTGGGGCACCGAGTGTTTGACTGGCCCTCTAGAAACACTTCTGGAAATAAAACATGCAGTCGCTGCAACTCTTTAGATACTAAATTCCTTGGTGGTTATCTTTTCTCATGCGTCTTTAGATATTCCATGTTCATTGAACATTTACCATATGCAAGACACTCTAATTATTGACCTCGCGCTTCGCCTGGGATACATATAAAGCCCTAGTCAAATCGTGTTTTCTTTTTGCTGCATTGCCTGGCTGGGCAGTCATTCAAGCATAACAAGCATCTGCTTGATTGTATAGTGTTAGTTAATACTGATTTGAATTGAATACTCTTGTGTGAATAAAACTTGGATAGTTTGCTTTGTATTGAAATAACTTGGTCTTGTAAATACATCTTTCTTCTGATTATTTCTTCTTGAAGCAATATATATAATAATTGATTAAATTGAAAGAAGTCCTAAGTCAGTTGGAGAAATCAGAAGTTAATATCACTTTCAGAGAGGCTGGGTTCATCTATTAAAATTGGGTTTTACTTTAATTACCAATGATTGTTTTGGCCTTCTTATCATACATAGGGCCTCTGAGCTAAATGTTCTAAAAATGTAATAGGTAAATCAGACATGCACGTGCAAGCACTGCATTGTTTCACTAGTGTAAAACCTGAAAGAGTTAATTTAAACTAGGTGGTATGATAGACATTGTGAAATGATAGGAAAACACTCAAGGGTAAAGGGCAACGGGGATGTGGGAAAAGAGAAGGGAAAGAAGGAGAAATTTTGTATGTATGTATATACAGGATAGTTAACATAGTTCTACTGTCTTCTATTTCTTTGCTGAAAGAAAGTGTCAATGAGTCCCTGATTGATCAATATTGCATGTCTCTATCTGTTTTCATGAGAAACCACTTTGAAGATATCCATATGTAATACAACAAGCATTGTTACTTTCCTATCACTTTGTTTGTAACTCTGTATTGTCTGTAGTGTTCTTTTGCTATTTGGTAAAAGGTTGTCTGTCTGTTAATGTTTTCCTCCTTTTATTTTTAAAATAAAGAAATAAATAAAATAAATACAAAAAGTGTAATAGGAAAAATATTAAAGTCCACATGCAATAATGGTATCCTTTTATTTCATAGTGCTTTTTTTTTTTTTTTTTTTTCCTGATTTGACTTACGCCCTTTTCTGAAAAGGAAAGTTCAAAGCAGGAATGAAGGCTAGCATGAATGGTAATGGCCCCTCAATCTGCAGCTTTGCAGCTTGAAAAGCATATGGGAATTTCCCCAGGAAATAAGATGAAAGAGAAAATGGGAAACAATAAAAAAGAAGAGCTAATCTTCATCTCCCTATTCAGTTCACATGTCAGATAATAAAAAACACAGGGCATGAGGACATGGAAACCATCTGCTTGAAATTCTGTCGATCTAGCCTACAATTTCACAAAGTCAGGAGGTGAATCCTGTGCCTAACTGCACCCTCTGCACTCAGCAAAAGGAGCAGGCTATGCCTGACAGGCTCAGAGGTGGTGTGGGGGTCTTGCTGAATTTATTATCCACTTCAGTGTTCGGCATCACACTGTACCAGCGAGAGGTACAGGCCAAAAGGACTTCTAGTTCAGTTCTCTGTTTAACAGATGAGAGTAATGAGGCCCAGAGGAGTTAAGATCTGGGACAAAAGCAGATGTTTTTAATTCTGTCAAGTCTCATTCTTACCATTTACAATGGCAATGATTAACGCTCATTTGAACTGGGCTACTGTTATATGAAAAGTTATGATGTCTTTTTTAATATGGAGGTATATTTCCACTGAGATAATAGAAACTAGGCATTTAGAAATAAGAATGAAGAAGTTGGCGAGTAGGCTACAAAAAAGGTTAATGGAAACAAACAAACAAAAATCCCTGAAATTGAATAGAGGGAATGTTAACTTCTGCAAGGTTCAGCTCTGTAACTGCAAGACACTGCAGATTTAGTAGGATAGTGTGGCCATCAAGAGCAGAGTGGAGTCTGGCAACCTGAGTTCAAGTTCCAGCCAAACTCTTCTAGCTGTATGGACTTGGTGACAGTCATTACTCACTTGTCCTAGAATTCTTCACTTAAATGGGAAACCGTTCTTGACCACACTGTTACAGTACATTAGTGGCACATCATGTCTTATCTTACAGGCCATGAAAAAGATGTGGAAATTCTTTCTTATTCTGTGATGGGAAACAGGATGATCTGGTTAATATTTTGACTGCTGTTAGAAATGATTGCATATGTGTTTGTTGGGAGGGTGGGGATATTAGCAAGATTTGTGTATGAACAAGCAAAAGATAACAGTGGCTTGGATTCAGATGCTAGCCTTGATGAGAGATAGTTGAGGCTGTGTTTTGTAATATTATAGCTGCGGTACCAAGTTACAGTTGTGTAGCTTAGGGCAGCATAAAAGGCACTGTGAGATGAATTCAATGATGTCTTCTCCTTTTCTCGACTGTGGGCTGGCCCTACTGGCCACTTCCACCCAATAGAATATGGAAGAGGTGCTAATACGTCATTCCTATGGTTCATTTAAAAACTGTAACTTTCATTATGCTAGCAGGCCACTCCCTGATGGTTTTAGTGAAACTGTCAGGTATGTTGCACAAGGCACTGAGGTCCTCATCCTGAGAACCCTAGAGGAAATGGAGTCCCATAAACAACCACGGGAAGTTGATCCATCCCTAGTTGAATTCTGATTGTAGCCTGGGGAGAGACCCTGCAGCAGAGGACCTACCTCAGCCATTCAGTATTCCTAACCCATAGGAGCTGTGAGATAATAAGTGGGTATCATTTAAAGTCACCAGGCTTTGGGAGAATTTATTATGCAGCCACAGAGAACCAGAGCCAAACAAAGCAGTGATCTGGAAGGTAAGAATAGGTGATAGTTCAGAAAGACTGGTGGTGACAAGGGTGCTGATGTTGTTGAGGAACCTTTCTGGGAAAACTGTTATGAACAGGGAGGCTGGATACATTCAAACTCTGATGTGAATCTACCTGTTTGAAAAAAACAAGGTTGTTAGAAAGGCTAGGAGAATGGTGGTCATGGGTATTGGGGTGACATGTCTTATCTTGTAGGCCATGAAAAAGATTTGGAATTTCTCTCTTATTCTGTGATGGGAAATAGGATACTCTGGTTAATATTTTGATTGTTGTTAGGAGAAATGATTGCATATGTGTTTGTTGGGGGGATATGCAGGAATTGTGTATGATCTAGCAAAAGATAACAGTGGCTTGGATTCAGATGTAGCCTTGATGAGAAATAGTTGAGGCTGTGTTTTGTACTAGCCACAACGATTGTGCAAAGATTGACTTTAAGTGTCCTATAAGAAAGAGGAGTTGGGAATGATTTTAAAAGGTTTTTAGTGTGAGAAGCCTGGTAAAAATTTTCCTTTTTCTGAGATGGGGAAGTCGGGGAGTCTCAAGCTTATGGGGAAGAGCATGAATTCAGTAGGTATCTGTAGACATTCCAGTAGGAAAACTGAGACAGCAAATTGACATGAGTCAATGTCAGCGAGGTGTAGGAGCTGGAGACATAAATTAGACTGCCATCAAAATACAGGAGGTACGTCTGGAGTTGGGGTATATATAGTTTGTCAAAAGAGACCTGGAGGGTGAGCCCAGAGGCTCTGTAACACTTAGGAGTGAGCCAGTGGGAGGGGTCAGGAGAGGATACTGGAAATGATCACAGGAAAGTGGGAAGTATAGCTGTTCAAAAGCCAAGTTAAAAGCTGTGCCATAGTGTTTGATTTTCATGTTAATTGTTCTTAAATTTAAAAGTGTGGGATAGACACCAGGAAGGCATGTTAAAACATAGATTGTGACTCAGTAGGTCTTGAGTTTGGCGCTAGAATTCACATGTTGAGCAAGTTCTTAGGTTGTTCATGCTGATGCTCATGTTGCTTTTCTAAGGTCTCCAGTTTGAGAACCACTGTTATCAAAGTTTACCTGCTTGTGGCACACGGAATATTTGTGGTCACCATTCTCTTATTTTTTTATCCACTCTAAAGGTACTGAATTCAGGTCCAGGCATTTTGGTGGGCACTGGGGATAGACACAAAAGTACTCAGCATCTCATTCAGTGCTTGCACAGGAACATATTGCAATGCAGTGTGCTAAGTATAGCAGGCGCGGCCCAGGCAAGAATAGCAGGGTAGAGATGGACAAGGAGTCAGAGGAAGTTTGGGACTGGAAAGTTTGAACAGTAGCAGTGATGTTTTAACTTGTGATGCTTTTAGGTGACCGAAAAGGGGACATGCATTCTAGAAGCAAGTATGCTCAAGGACTGGAGGAATGGACAGGCATGGTGCATTCATGATACTCAGGGCCTTGCAAGAAAAGCAACTGAGTCACAGGGTTTGAAAAGCAGTGAAAGAGGATGAGGTTAGACTCAGATGTGAATCTCAGGTGTTTGCTCTATCGTTTAGCCTCTCCTCAACATCTTAAGTTTGGATATTCCATGCAGGATGATTCTTTACTTGAAAACTAACATGGATTAAACCAATGGTTTCCTTTTAAAAAGATGTAAAATGCAACACTGAATATATAGTTTTGATTCTATTCATATGAAATATCCAATATAGGTGAAACCAATAAACAGGAAAAAGCCGTGTTTGCCAAGGGCTGCAGGAAAGGGGACTAGGAGTGATTTTCTACTGAAAGGGGGTCTTTTTGGGAGGAGGAGGATGTCTGGGGAGAAGGAGGGGTGATAGCTGCATAAGGATGTGATCTACTGACTGTCATCCAACTGTGACTTAAAAATGGTTGTGTCTTATGTGAATTTCATCTCAATTTAAGTATACTGGCATGATAAGGAAAACTTTAGATGCAATATTTGAAACTTTCATGTGCCTTCAGGAATGGAGACTGGGGCTATACATATGTCTAGAGAGAAATTTCAGACAGTTTGATCTTATAAAGGTTGTTAATCAGTAAAAACTGTATAATATGAATTTCTGATGAATAAAATGCAGCAACTAACACATTAAATGCTAGGAACTTCAATAGTTTAAATAAAGATAACTTTTTTTTTCCTTGATGACATTTACTGACTGGCAGGACTGTATGATTATCTTGAGTATTAATGGCTTTAAAATGACACTGCAGTGCTGAATGCGCTGCAATTTGTGTGACTCATAGCTGAGAAAATGTCCAATATTGCAAATGTATAAACTGACTAAAGTCAATTATCTCAGCATATAAACTACTTCCAGGAAGAAAGCAGTCAGTTTTTGCTTAAATATTTTCATAAAAACAAAATTACAGAAAATTCTAACTTATGGAAGAACATTGTCACATTTACTTGGTATTGAACACAACTGTTTTTGTGTATGTTCTTCCTTACAATTGTTAAAGAATAGAATTTGTAAAAGGATCTTATTTTGCCTCCTTTGAGGCAGAGAACTGAGATTATTGTACTCATAGTGCAGCATTTCGCTGGTCTATGCCAGGTATTTCTCATTTTCTGTGTTTTTATTTTCCCCTTTCAATAGTACATCAGTCTTACATCCCAATCATCACTCTGTCATTTAATCTATGTTCATTGAGATGTACGCATATTCTGGAAAGAGACGATGTTATTTAGTTAATCTTTGCTTTCTGTTTATATAAAGGATATCATACAGGTCTGATTCATTCCACGCTATATTTTAAAAATACATTCTTTATAGCACTATCATCTCTGCTCTTCAACTCCCCTTTTGAGTTATTTCAAATATTATATTTTTCATATTCAGTATCTCCAGGTATTATTCCCTTACAACTCAGTTCTTATGTTATGCTTTGAATACTTTTACTTCTTTGAGGATTTTTATATTTTGTCTAAAAAATTTACTTCCAATTCTTCTTCAACCCAGTGCATTAACTCAGCTTCCCTGCTACTGAGGGTTGAGATTGCTGTCTTTCTTCTGCTGGGTTGGTAGACTTCCTGTTGAATTGGGGCAGCAGTGGGGGAGGTACTCAGTGTGAGAGCTTGATGCTGCCACCTGGGCTAGGTCACTGCCTCTTGCCTTCACCTCCTCCCTACCCTTGATACCATTAGTCATACCTGGCAGTGAACCACTCTGTATCTCACCCAGGGGCTGTTTTTTTTTTTTTAATTTTAAGAGCTGCTTTCCTTGGATTATACCACCTACAACCACAGACCAGTGGTTGAGAAACTTGGTTATGCATCAGAATCATCAGGCATGCTTGTTTGGGACCAGAGGACTGGGCTCTACCCTCAGAGTTTTTGGTGCAGTGAGCCTGGGAAGCAGAGTATTAGCATTTCTAACAAGTTGCCAGGTGCTGCTAAGCCTGCTGATCAGCAACCACATTATTAGGTGTTCTCCACCTACCCGCATCTGTTGTGTTTTGCTCCTTGGTGCTGGTTCCAGGATCTATCCCTGCTTGGGCACTAGTTCCCCTGCAGCCTCTTGCTGGCTATCATTGGTTTTCCTGCTCTTGCAACTGCCTATAGTTGGTGATTGGGTGGGTCATGACCCAGGACCAGGTGAGCTGAGATAAAAGGCACCAAGCAGAAATTCCTCCCAGCTCATTCCCACAAACATGATTGTGGCTTCTTCTCCTCTAAGCAGAACTTTTCCCTTCCTTCACTATCCCCCGTTGATGTGGACCTAATCAGCTTCTATGCCCTGTGAGCTTTTTACAGTTTAAGTATGGAAAACTAAGCAACTAACCTCTCATCTGTGCAGAACAATTGTCAAGCACAGAGGCAGAGCCTAGGGTCTCCTCGTAGGTTGTCACGTCAGGCACCCCGAAATTACTTTTATGTTCAGTGGAGCAGACCTATAGATTTCCAATTTGTTTCATTGTCTGTCTTGCACCTGTCATTGCACCTTCTGGTTTATAATCATATGCATAATGAACAGATTACAGAATATGATGACACATATTCTTGGATAAACTCTAATTCACTTCTGTTGGATAGCTGTGATTCTTTCCACTGTCCCAACAATATTGATAGCACTAAATGGATGAACTTTTCACTTCTGTACAGTATCAGTAGATACTTTCCTTTCTGGCTTTGTTTTGCTTTGTTTGCCAGTATTCTGAAAGAGTTAAGGCAGCCTTCAGAAGTGCTTTAAGTTCTGGGAGAATCTGGTTCTTGGTGTCTGATTCATTTTCTGTGTGGGTGGTGTACTGCTCTAACCTTGTCACTGACAGAAAAGTTCAAATTTCACTCTCATACTGTAAGGAGGAAAGAAGCCCGTCCTTGCAGCCCTCTCCAAGCAAAGTATTTGTCTCTAGACAATGATGACATACACTCTTCCATCAACATCTCGGTCCTCGTTAGCTTCGGCTTTCCTTTGGGTTGAAACTGCAATTTTCTTTGTTCATCCAGGCCATTTGAACAATGACAGATTTCATTTAAAAGGTAGGGGCTGTGCTCCAGATCTGTCTTGTCCAGATTGTGTCAGGAGCACGGTACTATCCATTGCAAGAGAAGAAATCAAATGAAGAAGAAACCTTTCTTTTGTAATTTATTTGGCCAAAATGAATGTTTGGATAATGTAATTTTAGTTTTTGTATAAACCCATAGTGATTTGATAGGCAGCATCTGAAAATAGGTTAATGAATCATCACAAGATGAAACGAGAATATTTGGCTTTAAAAAAGGATGGTAGCTGATGGAGTAAGTGTGCCGATTTCTCTGGCAGGCATGCATGTCAAGGTGGAGGAAGGGAGGACAGGTGTAGAGTCCAGTTTGTCTTTCTGATTCCAGTTTGTCTTTGTGGATTTTGTGGTTCAGCTTGCATTTTCTCTCCTCACTTCAAGCCCAGTTATCCTTCTCAGCTGCTAACCCTGTGAGCTACACAGATTTGGGGACCAATAGCAGCATAGAGGCAAGAAACTTAGACTTCTTTAAAGATCCCACAATGGCATAGGGGTTGCTACCGGTGCATTATAAAAAAAATGAAAATTAAAAGAATGTTAGCGGTCGTTTAAGCCAACCCGCTATCCAGAGATAAATGTCTTCTATCAGGTCTATCAGTTTTGATTGCATCCTCTCCAGATCTAGAAGGTCGTCACCTCCTCAGGCAGCTCATTTATCCCTGGAGAGCTACAATGCAAAGTTACCTTGATTTTTTTCCCCATGACTTGATACCTGCCTTACTGGCTTCCTTTTCCAGAAAAGGGTGCATGAAGACATTTATCTTGTCTCCTTTTCGTTTCCTTTTTTTCTCTCATGTTTATTAAGATGAATATGTTTAGGCCATATAAGCTCTTGTTTGTTTTTCTTTTTTTTCCTCTCTCTCCTCTCTTTTGATAAAGTCTACTCCTAACCATTTCAAATGCTTAGTAGTTTTTTTCCACTTTGTCCATGTTCTTGAAATAAGAGTCTTGGAGCAGAACATAACAGCTTGCAGACACGGGGGAACCAGTGCTTGTTCTGGTGATCTTAACTTGAGACATGTGGCTTTCCAGATGTCCTAGAGACTCTGCAAAGTGTGTCACCATGCAGCAGTTCTCAGAGATACACCTGGAAGTGTGTTTTACTTCTGCCTGATCCTACCTAGACCCTAGCTGCGGAAAGATGGCACCTTATTATTAGTTACCTTTAAGTTGTTCATTTTATGAAAGGGTTGTAAAACAGCTGCAGGATTCCAATAGGAATACAGCTTATAATGATTGATAAAAAATTATTATTTATACCAGAGAGTTAATCTTTAGTTGTAGCTTGACTTCCATGACTGAAAATGGGAGAAAAGTAACATAGAAAAAAAATTCAATATCAGACTGAGACTAAAAGGAAACTTACATTACATATTATACCCTCTTAATTACTTTTTGTTTTTTTTTTCTTTTTGAGACAGGGTCTCGCTTTGCAGTTCAGGCTGGCCTTGAGCTCACTTTGTAGCCCAGGCGGGCCTCAAACTCACAATGATCCTCCTGCCTCAGCCTCCTGAGTGCTGGGATTACAGATGTGTGCCACCATGCCTGGCATCCTCTTAATTACAAAAGTGACTGACCATTCCCAATTTATGTTAAATACCTGGAATCATTGGTATTTTGAATAAGTATTTGAGAGGCGATTCTACTTTATATAACTTTTCATTTTATTTCTTTTTCTTTTCTAGTTCCTATTCTATAAAGAATTGTTTAAAAAATTTTAAACATTTTTTTTTTCAGTGCTAAGGGTTTGAATCCAGGGTCTTGTGCATGCTAAGCACACATTCTACCCCTGAGCTACACCTCCAGCCACTTTTGAACTTTTTGGTTAGTTTTTGTCAGTTTGTCCATTTAATACAAAACAAAGACCATTAAAATTTACTGACATTTTAAATTCAGGTATACCAAAGGGTTAATGTACTAATTCCCAAATACACAAGAACAAAAATTTACAACGTACTTTGTCGTTAGTGTTTTTATCTGAATAGTTATATTTTTAGATTTTAAGTAGTTAAATTTACATATAAAATATATAAGACATACCCTCCCAGAGCAAAATTTGGTCTGGCTTGTGTGATAATTACTTCTTTATGTGTTTTTCTGGTTTTGCTGTACATGTACCCGTTAACAATACATCGATCAGTTTATTTGGGGCCTTGGAATAAATGCCATCAAAGTTGGAACTTTTTTCTATGGTTTGCTAGTTTTGCTCAACATTATGTCTGTAGAATACATCCAAATGGGTACGTATAGTGTGGCTCATTTATTTTTAATGCTGTGTAGACATATTGTATTTATTCAGTTTACCATCGATAGACAATTAGATTATTGCCAGTTTAGAGATTTCTTGTTTGTTTCTATTATAGACAGTGCTGCTAGGAATATTTTTTATATGTCAAGTGGTACAGAGAAAAGCAAGAGATTTCTGCTGTGTAAATCCAGAATTGGAGGTGCTGCACTGTAAGGTAAGTGCTCAATACTAGTAGGTTATGTCAGCAAAATGTGAAAGTTCTTCCCACTTCACATCATAGCAAGTACTTGGTTTTGTCAAACTTTAAATGTTTTTTTGCCAGCTGGAGATTATGGCCTGTGCTGCACTGTGATTTGTAATATGTAAATCTCTGATTTCCAAGACTGAACTTTTTCAAATGTTATTGGCCATTTGATAGTCTTTTTTTTGAAGTGGCTAGATTATCTTCTCATTTATGATTCATATACTTAAAAATAATATTCTTGATGCTAGTCATTTATTGCTAAGACTATTGCAAATATCCTGTACTAATAGATTTTATGTTCAGCATTAAAAAATTTTAAGTTGTTGATTTTAGTACAGTTGAAAATATGAGTGTTTGGGCTGGGGATATAGCTCAGTGGCATAAGCGCCTGCCTGGCAAGTGCAAGGTCCTGAGTTCAATCCCTGGTACCGCAAAAAAAAAAAAAAAAAAAAAAAAATATGAGTGTTTAAAAAATTTTTGTCAGCACATTTTGAATATTGAATCCTATTTAAAAATTGATTCTCATAAAAAATAATAAAAACAAATACATAAATGAAACAGCATAGAGAGCAATAAAAGTGATACAGAATTTCAAAACATGTTGATAGGATATTAACAATGGTTGTTATATTACATAATGTCATCTTCAAAACGGTTGCACATATAACCAGATATAGGCATTATTGTTTTGTCAGTTTTTAATTTTTAAAATAAGATAAAAAGAGAAATTCATCTAATCTGAAAAAAAATTGATTTTCTACTCTGAAGCCATAGATATGTTCTTTTCTATTGTGTTCTAAAATGTTTATTACTTTTACTTCAATTACTGTATGTTTGAATACCACAAAAGATATCATCTGTGCTACATACAGACAAATTAAAACAAAAATATTCCAATTTCTTTGTCCTAAGTGTAGCACACTTGGTATTTATAGAAGAGACTCTTCTTTTTAATGTTTGGGAATCAATTCTATAATTGCAACTTATTTCTGAGGTTTAAATTTTTTTCTCTATATTATTTTAACTACTTAGAAATAGGCTAAAACAAATATTTGGTTCTTCTGTCATTACATTTCACAGCATCAAATAACTTCTGGACTTGCCCCAAAATGGTACTTTCAAACTGTGTAGAAGAACTTCTTCCCTGAAGATTGCAGGAAGGTAAGACTTCAGTCTGTCAGGTAGATACAAATACTTTACCAAGTCATAGTGACAGCACGGACATCTGAAAACTGGCTGCCACTATAGCAAGAGAACTTATAGTTTGAATTGTTCTATGATGATTATGACAAATTTCCTTACCATAAAAAGTAGAACTATCACTTAGATTCATTAAAAGTTTCCTTGTAAGAGTTTAGCATGGTCTCTTAAGTTTTGGTGTTATGTCTAAGGAAACTTTGCCTCATCTAGTGTCGCAAATATTTTCTTCTAGGCTTTGCTAACAGAATTTTATAATTTCATCTCTTATGTTTATTCTCTGATCTGTTTTGAGTTCAATTTTGTGTACGGCGTAAAGAAAGAGTCCAGCTTCCCTCTTGCATATGGCTACACAGTTGTTCCAACACCATTTGGAGAAGATTATTCTTTCTGCCCTGCATTATTTTGTCATCCTTGCTGAAACCAACTACATAATAAATTTATTTCTGAATCTTTCTACTTCAATGACTTATATGTCTATTTTTCATTGTTATACTACTATAGATTTGCTATAAGTTTAAAATCAGCAGGCATGTGAGTCCTTCAGTTTTATTCTTCTGTTTTAGTTGTCATTAGTTTTTTTGTTTTTCTTTTTGAGTGATACTGGGTATGAAGCCCAGGGACATGAATATGCTAGGCAAGCCCTCTATTACTCATCATATACCCTGTTTTAGCTATTCTTAATCCTTTGTATTTTCATATTAATGTTAAGACAGATCTGTGAATTCTCACAAGAAAGCTGCAATTTTGATGAGGTTGAATCAAATCTATAAATCAGTTTAGAGACAACTGCCATCTTACAATATTTAACCTTCATATTTACAAATATGGATGTCTTTCCATCTATCTAAACCTTCTTTAATTTATTTGACAATGTTTTATAGTTTTCTGAGTATAAGTTTTAATTTGTATTTACTTTATTCCCAAGTATTTTATTCTTTTTGGTCTTGTAGCAAATGGATTTTTTTCTTAATTTCATTTTTGTATAGTTCATTATCAGTATATAGGAGTAATTGATTTTGTATTCTGAAACCTTGCTGAAGTTAGTTAAATAATTTTTGTGGATTCATTGCCATTTGCAAATACAGTTTTTCAACCTGGTTTTCTTTTTTTTTTTTTTTTCTTGTCTTATTGCCATGGCTAGACTTTCTAGCACAATGTTGAATAAAAGTGGCAAAAAGTAGACATCCCTGTCTCCTCTCTGCTCTTACAGGGATATATTCAGTCCTTTATGATTAATTATAACATTGCCTCTTATTTTAAAACCCTTTATGATACTGGAGAAATTTCCTTTTATTTTTTCTCTGCTAAGTATATTCATCATAATAGAATGTTATATTAATTGATCTTCAGATGTTTGAGCAACTTTGAATTCTTGATATAAATTCTTAGTTATGATATATAATCATTTTAAAAGTTGTTAGATGTAATTTAGTAGTAAATTATGTGCTCATATTTTTGAGGAGTTTTACATCTTGTATTCATAAAAGATATTGAAGCCTTCATCTTGCTTTGATATCAGTGTAATACTAACCTCATAAAATGAGCTAGGAAGTATTCTTACTACCATTTTTTGAAAGGGCTTCTAAAGAATTAGAATTAATTCCTTAAATATTTGATAAAATTAATGAGTGAAGCCATAAGAACTGTACCACTCTTAGTAGCAAGTTTTAAGACTATTCATTTGATATCTTTATGATCTATATGTCCATCAGATTTTAATTTTTGTGTGTGTGTCAATTTTGCTACCTTATGTCTTTCTAGGAGTTTTTTCATTTAATATAAATTATTCTGTATGTCAATGGATGAATTCTTCAAGGATATTTTCTTTGTGATATTTTGAAGTTAAATATGGGCTTACAGTAGTTAACCAAAGTTCTGGCACATCAGCAACAACCTCCTGAAACACCAGATCTAGTCCAAAGATCTAAACTAAACACTTATGTATCCATTGCAGCTGTGGGTCAACTTTTTCTACAGGTAATGCTATTCCTGTGACTCAAATTTATGCAGAGGAAGAGCAAGAGGCAAGAAGAAATGCTTAAATCCAGTCTGTCTCTGCTCAGGAGTTTTTCCACCCAAAGGCTTATGTTTGGAATTATCATAATTATCATAATTGTCATAACTGAACAAGGCTCTGGAGAACCAGCTTTATGGCTAGACTGGAATGAGGGAAGACAGGAAATAGTTACGGTGCTGTCTTTATGGAGGAAAGCATGTCTTTCCTAAAATTTTTGACATAAGGAGAAAGTCATCTGCCATCAGTCTTTTCACATAAATATGTATATATATATATATAATACGTAATCTATATCTACATGTATCTCTATCTCTATCTATCTCTCTATGTAGAAGTAAACTTTAGCAAGAATTGGCTTCTAGTAGAGGGTGGGTATAGGGAGTCTGTAGATGCATCTAACAAGTTAATGAGGTGAGAAGAGATGCTCTTTATAATGAATTTTAATTTCATTTTAATTATTGGGAAGGACTCTAATATTAAGAAGTCAGCCTTATTTCTTAAAAATCATGTTTGAAATTTAGAGGAAGAGTTGTCATGGATATAGTTAATTTCAGGACCAAGGCAGAAATTAGAAATACCATTTATTGCCTCAAGGCAAATACTGATGTTCTGTGAATAACAGCATTGTGCTTTAACCCAGAGCCTTGCCATTTAAAGAGTGCTCAGCAGGCCAGCGGCATGGGCACTATAGTTCTGGACACAGAACTGTGAAATTTAGGCCTCAACCCACATTCCCTGTATATGAATCTGCATTTTAAGATGTCCAAATGATTTCTAGGCACATTGATGCCCAGTTCCCCAATAATTTGTGGGATCTCTCTATCTGAGCTTGGAATCTCTTCACTGGATTTACAAAGGTATCCTTGGGAGCACTGTTCCTTGCTCCGATTCAAGCAGTGATCAGTGCACTAAGAATTTGTTGCAAAATATACCTGAGGTGGAAGGTGTCCTGGGGATTGCAACTAGCCAGTCCTTCGAAGGTGAGTTTGGACTCTCACATCCCTCCGTAGATCTAGTACTGGGAGAAAGGACTTTTCTAGGTTGATGGGACAGGCTGAACCTTCAACACAATCCCTAGAAATAGGAGTCATCATAGGAAGTATCCCTGTACTCACCCATCCAGTTAAGTTGCAAGGAAATAGCTGAACCTAATTTGCAAGTCACTGCAACATTTACATATTTTATGGATGGTTTTAATTTTTTTTCTGTGACACTTTTATAACTTTCCTTCTGCCCATTGCCTTTCCTACTCTCTATTGTCCTATGTTACTTGCCCAAGGAAGAGGGCTCATCTCTTGTACCAGCCTTCCCGGCCACGGGGTATCCAGGTAATACCAATTATGCAGAGTCAATGCAGGTGCATAAAGCAATAGATTCTAGAAGTTTTAAGAGCCGAGTGTGTGGGATTCAAGCTTGGGGAGCTGGAAAGCTGAGCAGGAGTAAACTTCAGGGGCTGCAGCTTACTGGTGAGCTCGAAGGTGAGGTACAGAGTCTCTTTGGGATTCATCTTAAGGACAGGATTTGATTTTATTCCTATTAGAACTAAGATTCTGGGCTTTCAGGAGCTGGAGTTCAGGAAACATCAAGCTTCAGAGAATTGTGTGTGATTGGCTTGTGGCTTCATTAGGGACAGCTGAGCTGAGTTTTGCATCAGTAAGCCTGCTGGGAAATGTATCCTAATATCCGCAAAGGAGGAAAGAGGTCCTGAAGTTGATAAAAAGTGCACCTAATCATTAGTATTAGAGTGCAGTGTGGCAGGGAGCCAGGGCATTTTATGTCCATTCTTAGGAATTGTTGAGTTTAATAATGTTAGGAAATTGTTGTATTTTAATTTTATAAATTGATCCCTAGATGTGTGGAGCACGAGTGTTTTGTTTGCTATGTGGACTAGATATTTGAGTGCAATGTCCCAAATTCTTGGCTTTTTGTTTAGTTTGCAGAACTTACTAGAATAATAATAAATATTTGTAAATATCCTTTTGATGTTTTTAAACTGAGGAATTAGATTCAAGTTGATCAGTTTTCTACTTGTCTGGACATATTGAATGGAGGATAATTTTACAAATTAAATGATCTCTAAGAAGTAAGGCTATCTTTAGCATACTTTCATTCATTTTACCATCTTTATGAGTGAATTATTTTATCTAAGTCTGTTTATAGTTTGTCCGGAAAGACTTGAGGCAACATTTTGACAAATCTTGAAACTGCTTTTCTTTCTAGTATACTCGGCATCCATAATACTTGGTGTAGCCTAAGTGAATTTATTTCAACATTTCATCACAGCTAAGGGACATGAGGATTACAAAACTGTGCTAGTATCTCGTACTTGTATCAGATGGGACAGGGGAGATGGTCTCCAAGATTTTTGTGAACCCAGTTCAAACCTGGGTGGCTCTAAATCTATAATATGTGCAAATTGGTTTTCCACACCTGCTTAGGTGGAGTTGTGGAGAAACACGGTCACCTGAATTCAATAATTATAATTAAAGGATGGAGAAAGGAAAAGAGGGTAATATATGCCACTTCTTTCTCCTGTCTGGATTTCAAGTGAAATACATTTTTTATTCTAATAGGTTTGGGATTTTAAAACTTTTTCTTCCAATGTCTTAGTTTCCAGTTTCTGACTTTTAGGCTTGATAGGAAACTCAGTTTCCTGTTAGAAAAATTCTTGTGTGTGTGTGTGTGTGTGTGTGTGTCTGTGTGTGCACTTGTGTGTTTGTATGTGCTGTATGCTTTTAATTTAGCTTAGGTCTATCTTCTCCAGGTATCTATTTAGTAGGTTCTACCCCTCCCTCAGCTTTTCCAGAACCAAGAAAGGCCAGGTTAGCCATTTATTTATCTACCCAGGTGTCTTGGTTACTTTTCTCACGTTGCTGGGACAAAATACCTGATACCAAAAATTAAGGAAGGAAAGGTTTATTTAACTCACAGTTTATGGAGGTTTCAGTCCATACTCGGCTGGCTCCAAGGCAGAGTGGCACATGGCAGAAGGCAGCAGTTCATAGTGGCGGAAGATAGTAAAAGCAGCAAGAGCAAAAGGGAGGAGTGGCAGCAACAGCCTTTTTCTCCCCCTTACATATGCAAACTATGTACCCCAGGGTGGGTGTAACACTCACACCCATAATCCCAGCATTGGACCATGAATCAATCATAAACTCTAAAAGCCTGCCCTATGACTGTGTGGGATTTGGGGGGACATGCAGACACAAACCATAGCACCAGGGAAAGCCTTCTTCCTGCCTTGGCCATTCTGAAAGCTCTGGCAGTGCTGGTTCAACTTCTGTATTCCTACTGCTTCCTTGATCTCCTACCAAATGTGTTTGCCTGACTTTGGCCACCTCCTTGTTTTTGCTCAACTGTTTCCACCCTAATCACAGGTTACAGGTAACTCTGTGCAGGTCTGGCTGTATTGACACTATATGAATTCTGCATATATTCAGTGGTTTTTTTTATTTGATACTGAAACTCATGTTTTATTTACTGAGTCAAAACTTTATAATATGTGCTCAATTACTATTTCTGTCTAATGCCAGTCATTTACAGATCCAGATTCATAAGTTATAGTAAATAAGAAGTTGCATTAGAATGATTATGAGAGCATGAATCCAGAATTTTTACAAATGAAAAAAAAAAGGTTTTTAAACTTTTAATGCCACTGGCTGTGTAAGTTTATAAAAGTTTCATCAGGGTCTTTCGTATCAGATATTATTACATATTTTACTATTTTGTTGTTTGTTTTTTGTTTTTTTGAAACAGGGTCTTGCTTTGTAGGGCTGTTCAGGCTGACCTTGAACTCATTATGTAGCTCAAGCTGGCCTCAAACTCCTGGTGATCCTCCTGCCTCAGCTTCCTGTGTGCTGAGATTACAGGCATGTGCTACCACTGCCAACACCATAGTTTACTATTTTGATATGATAAAATATTACCTCAAGTTTGCTTTAATTTTTTTTCTGCCTCTCCCCTCTACTCCCTCCCTTTCCTATCCTGCTGGGGATTGAACCCAGGGTCTCATGTGTACTAAGTACATTATGTGCTCTACCATGAACTGTAATCCCCAACCTAAATAGGTTTGATTTTTTTAAATGAGGAAAAGTAGGACATTTTCTATTTGGTGTTTCACTTGGTATGTTTTTGTATTATAAAGTGTGTATTTCTCTTTTCCCTCTATCTTGAAAGTCTAAAAAAGCAAATTCTAATCAGAGTAAGGAATCTTATTTTTATATTAAAATTTGATTTTAACATATTTACATTATAAACTTATTTAAATATTCCAGGTTGAATTCTCCAAAGAGTCCATACCCTTGATTAAATTTAAATCTTGCTATGGGAGGTTATTTTCTTTTTGTATTGCAATTAGTGGAAATTGTACACAATTTCATTTCACTATTATAACTCACTTTAAATAGCAAAATGGGCTGCCTATATACATTGTATGCATGGAATTAATAGCTATCTCCAATAAATTGATATGTGAAATAAACTCAATCTATTTCCTATTATATGCTGGGCATCCACTTGAAGAAAACTTTATTCAATATTGTGGATATGACAGTGAACTGGCTCTGGCCATTTCTTCCAGGGAATTTGTACTCTGGTTAGGCAGAAAAAAGCATAGGTCATTGTAATGGATGTTCCATGGTAAAAGAAACAAAATCAAGAAAAGTTCATGTCCAGTCGAGTCCCAGAACCCCAAAGGATGCTAATGCGGGGTGAAGGGGAGGCATCTCATCTCATTAGGGAGTCTCTAACTCCCTCCTAGAGGGGGGTCTAGGACAGCCTCTTAGAAGAAGTTATATAATGAGACCTGAAGGACAAGAAGGACTGATTTGCTTTATGTAAGAGGGCCGATTTATCTGAATGTTGTTGCTATTAGTTTTTAGCCTTTGTGAGTGAACCCTAACTAATTTTGTCCTTTCTCAGTAGGCACACAGGAGCATCACTAGAAAAGAGCCCAGCCACATGGAAAGAAGCCAAGCAGAAGCCCTGAAGGCCAGACTCCTCTACCAGGAAGTCTGCTTAGCAGCCCAGCATCTTAATCTGTTTCTGCATAAAAGAAATGCCCATAAAGAGGTGTTCAAGCCACGTGTCCTGGCCCTCAGGGATGTGCTTCAGCAAGTCTGCATTAGACTGTGTCTAATGTCCTCCCGTAAGACACCCTGTGTCTTACGGGAGGAAGGCAGAAGAGCTGTTGTGGAGGAAAAGATACTCTGACATTGTCATGTTGCTTATGAAGACCAACAGAAGACACAAGGACACCTTCAAGCTCTGGGAAGGCCCCTTGCGGCACATCTGAAGAGTGGCCTCAAGTTCTACTAGCATCTTTTTCTGTTCCTTCAGGGCCACTATGAGCTGAGGTTACAGAGCTACATAGATTGGCCTCATAGAGAGATTCACCTGATTGGCTGTGAATAAGTAGGACCCACGTCAGAGGAAGAGGCTGCCTGGGCTCGCATGGCCGGCCATCGCTGCCTGCTCTACCTGGGAGACTTGTTTCGCTATCAGAATAAGTTCCTAGACCTGGCCACCATGGATTTCGCTGAGAGATGCTATTACGAAGCCCTGGCTGTGGCCCTGAACATGGGAATGCCTTTGAAGCAGCTGGGCGCACTGGCAGGGAGCAAGTGCTATGGTGTGGAAGCCACATACTTCTATCAGCGCTGCGTCCACTAGGAAGTGCCATTTCGGGGGCAGCTTGGAACCTCAAACGGCTCTATGACTATGCAGGGAAGTGATACAGCTGTCTAAAAAGGTACCAGGAGGGGCTGGGGATTTAGCTCAGTGGCACAGTGCCTGCCTGGCAAGCGCAAGGTCATGAGTTCGATTCCCAGTACCGGAAAAAAAAAAAAAAAAAGGTACCAGGGAAGGAAACTGTCTTGCATCCAGAGGCAGTGTTGGGACGACAAATGGCTGCTGGTCAGCTTCCTCTACCTTCAGAGTCTCCTGCAGCCTTAGCGGAAACACAAAGTGTCCAGATTGAGAGCCCTGTGCCAGCTGGTTTTGGAGGACTTTCACCTCTGTCTTTCCTACCAACCGTGTCCATGTGATCCCTGCCAGGCTTCCACGGAAGGGAAGTCGCCAAAGGGCTATTTGATTCACCCAGACCACCTCATCTTCCACCTGGTCGGTCTCTGCCTAATGAATGTTCACAGTCTGAGGAGAACGGGCTCGAAGCAGCACAAAACAGTGCTCCACTTCACCTTGACCCTTTTCTCTCATCTAATTCAACATGTGAACACAAGAATCCAAGGTGAGCTCCAGAGGGGGAAACGGTACAGACATGACTGGCTGCAGTGACAGGAGCCAGGAGAAGGTGACTGGAGAGGGGCACCCAGACTTTCCAGCCCCCAAGGCCCCCAGCACAGGTGGTCTTGTGTTTCTAGTGAAGGTTACATCTCTGAGGCCAGCTTTCACTCTTGCTGTGAGTCTGATGAGACAGAGGAGGAGGAGGAAGATGAATCCTCAATGTCACAGATCTGCTCAGAAGCGAACGGCGATACTTCCTGTTCAGATATAAGTGATGAAGAAGAGGGTGGCTTCCTGAAGCCAGAAGCAATCCAGAAAAGTGGAGCCATGCTGAGATACGAAGCTGACCAGGCCCAGAAGAAAATGAAGGCGTTCAAACCTTCCAACAGTGTCCTAGAGCCCTTCGAAACAACTATTTCCGCTAACCTGTCTATGCCATTGAATCAAAAGCTCCCAGGGACACATGGCTCTCATTTAGCTCCTGTCTTCAGTCCCAGCAAAAGGATGCCTCCTTCTGAGCTGAGCCCTGACTCTGACAGTGCCTCTAGCACGGAGGACAATGTGAGCAGCTTTCCAGACACTGAGTTTCACGTTGGTTCCCTCACGGGCCAGGGCGCCTCCGTCAGCCAGTCGCCCAGCCATCTCGAGATCATTCAAAGGAAGCTGAAAGTCCTGTCTGCAGAGGGGCTGCTGCCCACCCTCAAGGTGATCCTGGGCTGGCTCTGCGCCAACCACCACCTCCTCACCTCATGGCAGCGGAGTCCGCTGAGTCTGTGGGACCACCTGTGTGTGCTGCTGAACCTGCTGCCCTCGGTGGGAGAGCTCCAGCAGCCAGGCCTGGGCCTGTTCCACTATGTCTATGACCTGCTGCTGGGCTGTCAAGGCCCACAGAGCCCCATGTTCCCACAGCTTCCTGCAGACATTGCCCTGTTCCAGTACTGTCCACCTCAGGCTTCCCAGGTCAGGGTGGGCTCACAGCAGGCCCCTCCTGCACTCAGCACCCAGGATGAGGCCGCTGTGCCATCTGTTTCCTCCAAAGCTTTGGCCACTTTGCTACTAGACTCCGCGGACAGTTCCTGAAGTTCAACTCTAATTTGGGTGTCTTCATGAACAGCACACTTGAGGGACCGGAAGCCCCATCTTGGCAACTTCTAGAGAAAACTTCAAGGATCTGGTTTTCCAAAGACATCATCCAACTCTGGCTTCAATGTGAAGTGGCACTGCTAGAGAAGACCCTTCGGGGACCACAGACTCAGTCAGCTTTGGCCCCTTACCTGTTCCCTGACCCCAGGGCCCTCTGTGAGCATCTTCCAGTCATGCAGCAGCTCATCACCAGTGGGAAATTCTCCCTCATCATACCCAGGTTTGTGGTGGACACATTGCATATCCCAAGGAGAGAGGAGCACAGGCCTTGGAAGCCATCACCTTCCTAGAAGAAGAGCTGAAGAGAGGGAACCAGTATGTTCTCTGCCAGTGCTTTGTGTCCAAGAGGTTGGTGAGGCCCAGGATGACCAGGCCAGACTCTGATGCCTGGGACCTCTATAATATTCTTTACTTCTGCAAAGATCTGCTGGACTCATCTAGGCCAGGAATGCCAGATCCCAACAGCATGGTGACTGTCATCACTGGTATCTGTTTGGACAACCCTAGAAATTTCTCACATCCTCTGCAGTTGGTCCTAGGGACAGCAACTGAAGCTGATGTGGAAATCAAGAACATCCTGCACTTCCATAGAGAGTGGAAGGCGATCAGCTAACAGGATCAAATCTCCATGGTCATATCTCTCTTCCTGGTCACACCTTTCTTCTTTCTCTACCTTCAGCATTTGTGGGTCAAACTCAATATGTTTCTCTTTCTTGTAAGCTCCTAATGTTAAGGTAATCATTGTGTGAACGTTTGTGTCTACTTACAAGGAGAGCTTTGGTGTACCAGCTTCTGGAGGCCTTCTTGTTGCCTTCTTTGTCATCTTGGCTTGATACCATGTTTCCCTGAAATATCTCAGAATTACTGATCCATGCTTCATGTTTTCATGGAAAAGCAGCAAAGCCAGGAAGTGCTCCCAAGAGCAAGTCTAGCTCCTTGGATGCTCTGCAATTTTCTGAACTTTGTTTTGTGACATGAAATGTTTACTTTTAATGCTTTTTTAAAATTATTATGATGAGACCATCCCTACTACTGAAGGTAGGCAGCTGCTATCTATGGAACTCAATAAATGTAAAGCTACAATTCCTGATTGTGGTGATGGTTTTTATTGCAAGTCCTTGTCATGTCTTTCTTACTGCATGTTATTTCAGATTTTCACATTTGGGTAGAGAGGGGGTAATAGTCTATACTACTAGAGTATGTTTTCTATTTTTTTCCTTTTGTTTCTTCTAAGCATGATAACAATTGTCCCAGTGATTGGTGGACTTCATTCTGCTTTTGGTAACCTGGAAATACACATTTCATGGTACAATATCAGCATTTTTTTCTAATAAAATTTTTCAATTTTTCAATTTTCTCTTCTCCTCTCCACTCCCCTTTCCTCCCCTCACTAGTCCTCTCCCCTGTCTCCCCTCCCTGTTCCTCTTCATCAGGCCTCCCTCCTCTCTTTCCCAGATATCTTTGGGGACCTCTTCCTGATGGCCTTTGTATGTTCTCCAGGTGTCTTGATTACTTTTCTCTCATTGCTTAAACAAAACACCCAATGCCCAAAATTAAGGAGGAAAGGTTTATTTAGCTCACTGTGGAGGTTTCAGTCCATGCTTGGCTGGCTCCAAGGCAGAGTGGCACATGGCAGAGGGCAACAGTTCATGGCAGTGGAAGAGAGCAAGAGCAACAAGAGCACAAGGGGAGGAGCAGCAGCAAAGGGCAAGGCTCGTTCCCTCCCTTACATTGCATGCAAACTATCTGCCTCAAAGCTGGTGTAGCACTCACACCCATAACCCCAGCAGTGGACCATGGGTCAATCAAAAACTGTAGAAGCCTGCCCCATGACTGCTTGAGGCTTTGGGGGGACATCTAGACACAAACCATAATGCCAGGGAATAACAGTTTTCCTACAATTAGATTAAATTAAAGGTACTTCCTGTCAGTGTTGGATGCAAGTTAAAATCCACAACTTCATTCTGATTGAAAGGTAGTAAATGTATTAATGACCATGTCTTCCTCTCTGCCAGTCCTCAGTGCATTCCCTTGATAAACCAGCACCTCCCAAGGCCAACTTCATACACTGTCAGGACCCCAAGTTGATGATGTGTTTGAGTTCCCTGGGCACCACTGTCCTCCTCACTAAGCCTCAGGCCAACCGCCCTCCACATACGCAGAGAAAGCATTTGCTGATGGGTCTTCATCACACTTCTCCTTTGTCCTGTGCTGAGCCCTTGTGTTTTAAGTCACCTATCACTTCCCCATCTCCACATTTTCAAATATTTTGGACTTTATTAGAAAAATTTCAAAAAACTGAAGAAAAAGTAGAAGTTCAAATATCCTTTCACCCTAACATTGCTACTTTTGTTTTAGCTATACCTTATCACATTTATTTGGAACACATATTTTTCTCTAGCTGGTGTTTTATTTAGTAAGTATCCTTTTAGCCTACTTTTCTTTCAGTTGTATACATTTCTTCTATTATTGCATTATTTTCCTCATCACCTTTAATAGTTGCTTTCCATCATGTGTTGCCAAAATATTCATATTTCCTTTTTAATATTTGAGTTCTAAATTAATAATTATTTGATTATTATTTTTGTATCCATTGTATTAATTCTTCAAATGACAAAAAACTGATTATTGAGTTAAAAGATATATGTTCATCATATTATTTTATATGTGAATATACATAACTTTTTAAGAGGTATAACCCAGGAAATAATTTACTTCCAAAAATCGAATAAATATTCTATAAAGTTTTACAACGTGTATTTTTCTCCAAGTTATTATGATCCTTTTCTAATCTATTCCTTCAAAGATGAATTTTAGAAATGACCATCATAGAAGTATCAATATGCTTAATAATTCTCTTAGGTTTGAACATTTCTTTTTACATTTTTTCCTATTGTAAATAAATAAAATTTTCTCTTGTGTCCTTGATTATTAAGACAAATACATGGAGATAGAATTACTGAGGCAAAGGGTAAAAATACATTAAGGCCCTTAATGATACTAATTAATAATGATAATGAGGGCTGGGGATTTAGCTCAGCAGCACAGTGCCTGCCTGGCAAGTACAAGGGTGTGAGTTCGATTCCCGGTACTGGAAACCGCCCCCCCCCAAAAAAATGATAATGATACTAGATTGACTACCAGATATGTTGCAGAAATTCTTACTTCCAAGACTGAGTGTGTATGTTTCAGGGTATTCTTTTTTTCCTTTGCTAAGTTGATAAGTAAAATTATCATTGCATTCTTAACTGCAAAGAATGAATTTGCTAGTTTAGTGGACATATTATTTTAAAATTTTTCCCATGTCCTCCTTCATTTCAAAATTGTATTTTTATGTTTTTCTCATTTTGTAGTGTGCAACCGCGCGAGATGAATTTAATTAGTTCCTAAATGCATTGTTTCAACCTAATGCTCCTGTGGTTTGATCTTGTTTGCTGTAACCTCTAGGTACAGTGTTCCTCATGCATGAGGAAAGTGAGAGAACAGATGGCTAGGGACACAGAAAAGTAGCTCAAAGCATGCAGTAGGGTGGAAGAGAATAAGGGGAGAAGAATAATCGATGAGTTTTTAAAATGCAACAGAATTGCCTTTCAGACCTAGGAAGAGGCATCACGGTAGGCATCACGGTTGAAGAGTGCCTTTTCAGGAAGCATGTGTGGCAGGTTCTGACTGGCATTTGGGAAACAGCTAGATAATATGAATGGGGTGAAGCAAGACAAGTGAATGTAGAGCTTCTCCTTAGCACAGTGGGTACTGTAGCTGTGTCTCAGTACGTTTGGTTCCTCCAAGCCCAGGACCCTGTCTGTTCTTTCTTTACTATTGAAAATGGATCATTGAGAAATACCTTGGCAGCTACACTCTTGCAGAGCACACACTCAAAATTAGCAGTGGTAGCAGCAGCTACCACTGGCTGCCTTTGCTTAATTTTGCTAGTTTTTAAAATTGTATTTACTTATTTTTTACATGCAGGACTCATGCTCCCTGAGAAAGCTTCTGCATGTGTGTTATGCTATTTCCTGGCTGTGTCCTGTGTTTTGAAGTTACAGACATCCCTAGTTGGAACTTATGAAAACAATGAGAAGTCTAGGGATTGCCTTGGCGATGTCATTGCCATGACCTATGTCACATGCCATGAATGTCTGTTTATGGTTTTGCTGATTACTGGCTGTGTACATTGCTGGTTTGCTTGGGAGGCAAAGAGAAAGTGAGCATATTATTAGTAAACAGCTGGACTTCATTCTGTTTAGAGGATGAGCACATTGAACTTGGTGCTTGCCAGTTGAGCCAGCCAGGCAAAATGCTTTTGTATCTTAGGTTACTTACTGTTTTCACTCATTTAGAAAGTACTTGTCTTCTAAAAGTACATTCTTTTGGCCTAGACCTGTGTGACTGTGGACAAAAGTTTATCCATGAAGAGATTTAGTTTTCTCTGCTGTTCATCATTTTGTGTGAGGAACCATATACTCCATTGGTAAAATTTTAAATAGTGTAGTGTCTAAATCTCAGTATGTTTTACAGAGGCCTGGCTGAGAACAATAATTCTTTGATGCTTGTGCATTACCACATGGTTTTCTGGAGAGGACAACACTATCTGTTCAATGCACAAGAGTTTGTCACCAGACTAGGCTATTGCTTGGATGGCTGTTGTTGGAAGGGGACCTTCTAGGAGCCAAGTGGTTCACAACTTTCCTTTTACTCTACAATGTAGGAATAAATTCGGTGTTCACAGATGAGTAAGTAAGATCAGTGCAAATGCCTGAGGCTACCTGGTATTCCATTCTAGATATATCGAGCTGCAAATTTATTCTAAGTAGACTTGGTTCACTTACACAAGCACCCTAAAGCACAAGACATCCAGTAAGTAGGCAGGAAGAGGACCTCTCAGAGCGAAGGTCAGTGAGAACTTAAGGCACAGTTTGTGGGCCACAGCAATAAGCCTCCTTTCTCTCCTGTCTTATTGTCATGGTGATGTGCAGATGCCCAACTTCATCCAGTGACCTAAGGAAGTGAGAGTTAGCAGAGGAGAGAAACAGCCCGGACAAGGGGTCGCAGCTTTATCTTAAAGGGTATTACCCAAGAAGAAATTGCTTCAGATGGGAGACACAAAGTTATCTTCATGAGGCAAACGTTATGTTTTGGTTGAAATAGGTTTGAAGGTAAAGTTATATTCAGAAAATATATAGTGCTGGCTATTTTGTATATATGACCTAGAGAGTGTACATTTCAGCCTCATTATAAATGTGTGTTATATGTATTTTTTAGGTAGCCAGATGCCTTATTTATTGTGGTTGAATAATATATTTTAACTGTAATGTTTTCTCTTCTGAACTCAAGACTCATATTTTCAACTGTCTTCTTTATATCTCTGCTGTGTTATTCCAAATATTTGAAGCTTACATCTACCAGTAAAGTCATTATTTCTACCTACAAGTTTGATTTTTCTTGTAGTCTTTATTTTGATCAGTTGCACTTAACTTGTTTGAAACACTGGTTCCATTCTTCTAACTCCTTTACAATAAAAGCAATTTGTAAATGGGCAGACAGAGAAAAGTAGAAAAAGAAAAAGGGAAAGAAAACAAAAGTGTGCATACACACATGCACACCCACACACGTACACCCCCCCACTCCTTTCAAAAACCAGTTTATGGCTGACAAAGCTAGAATCTGTAGGAAAAGCCTGGTGCTGCAATATTGAACAAAATTTCTTTTTCCTTGAGGGTGCCACAGTTTTTTTCTAAAGGCTTTTATGGTCTTTCAACTGATTGGATGCAGCCTACCTCATTAGTGACGTGATCCCTTTTACCTCAAGTTGGCTGACTAAATGTCCACAAAATACCCTCACAGAAACACTAGTGTTCAATTCAATAGCAAAGTACTACAGCCTCACCAAACTGATACACACACACAAAAAATAAGCATTGCAAGTTTACAACAATTTCTCAGCAACTTTCTGAGTATATCAATAAGCATAACAACTTGCTAAGTTTTTATCAGTTCTAGATATGATGTTTACTGCCAGGGACCCAAGAAAAGTAAGATGTAGTTCTTGCTCTTGAGGATATCAAAGTTCCCAAAATAGCAAC